AAATTATAGGTTCAAAATTATATTCTTTTTAAAATTTTAGTGATTTTCACGTTTATATCTATACTCCATTCCAAAAATAAGACCGCCCGAAGTGAGATTTGAACCATCAATTTCACGTAAAGGTGCAATTATTGCACCATAAGAGTCTTTGAGCAAAAGTTCACACACATATAATTAAGTACTTTTCAAGAACTATACTATTGTTATATACTCCCTCCGTTTCAATTAATGTGAACATGTTTGACTGGGCACGAAGTTTAAGAAAAATTAAAAATTTTTGAAATTTGTGGTCCTAAACAAGTCAAAAAGGGGCCCACCGTATTTGTGTGATTATAAAAGCATCTCATTAAGGGTAGAATTTGATGTTTAAGCTAAATTATTTCCAAATTTAGAAATGAGTCATTCTTTTTTAAATGTACCAAAAAGGAAATAGGTTCACATAAATTGGAACAGAAGGAGTATGATTTAACGAGAGGAGTATGGGTTCACATGAACCCATATCTTAGGATCTAGATACGCTTCTGGACCAAGACTCTTAGGGCTCGTTTGGTATAAGGGATAATGGATACTTAATTCGGAGATTAAATTTGAAATAAGTTTATATCACGTTTGGTTGGGATAATATCATGGGATAACTGATCCCGCATATAGTTATCCCGAGATTGTAGCATTATTGTTATCTCTATGGGAGGGTGGGATAATAACCCTAGGATAATTAATACTAAGATAACATATTTTAAACCTTCTAAAATATAATCATAAATCTTACAACTTTATGGATTACATATTTTCTACGTAATTCTGTGTTAGGATCACATAATAAGCTAAAAAAAAGGAAGACTAATAAAGCAGTTAAAGAACAACATTCTTATTTTCACAATTGATGCAGCAAAGAAATCCAATAACAAGAATGAAGTACATGAAGCTCAATACGGTGGTGGAGGATACCCTGCCGGATACCCTGCCGCCAGATACCCCGTTCCTGGTGGCGGATATCCTGATGGAGGCNCCAAAGAAATCCAATAATAAGAATGAAGTACATGAAGCTCAATACGGTGGTGGAGGATACCCTGCCGCCAGATACCCCATTCCTGGTGGCGGAATCCCTGGCGGTGGTGGTGGATATCCTGATGGCAGCCGTGGTGGTGGTGGCAATCTTGGCGGTGGACGTGGACGCGTAGGTGGTGGAGGATACTGCCTCTATGGTTGCTGCGGCCGCCGGAATTACAATGGTTGCAGCAGGTGCTGCTCCTACAAAGGTGAGGCCATCCATGGATAAGGTCACTCTATTGAATCTAAGACTCACAACTTATCATCATGTGGAGCAATATATAAAACCTTTGTACTTTGTAAAGCCTCAAGATGTAACAGTAATGATCTTGCAGCTTTTTAGTGCTTGTTGTAACAAGTTATGAATAAAGTTAAGTCAACAACTACAACCCAGTGAGATCCCACAAGTGGGGTATGGGGAGGGTAGTGTGTATGCAGACCTTACCCCTACTCCGGAGGAGTAGAAAGGCTGTTTCCGGTAGACCCTCGGCACAAGAAAGAAAGAGACGGTGTATCAGTAACAGAAACGGAATCCAAAAAGATAACACCAGTAACACAATAACCAGAAAATAGAGAGCAAAGTAGTAGCACTAACAGTAACAAAGGCACAGCACTACAAACGCAAGGGAATAATATGTACACAAAGGTTCACTAAACATACTAGCCTCTTATCTCCTAACCTACAACCCTAATATTCGACCTGCATAACTTCCTATCGAGGGCCACGTCCTCGAAAATTTGCATCCGCATCATGTCCTACCTGATCACCTCTCCCCAATATTTCTTAGGTCGCCCTCTACCTCTTCTCATACCCGTCAAGGCTAGCCGTTCATACCTCCTTACCGGTGCATCCAGGCTTCTCCTCTTCACGTGCCTGAACCATCTAAGCCTAGCTTCCCGCATCTTGTCTTCCATGGGAGCCACGACCACCTTCAACCGAATATCTTCATTCCTAATCTTATCTAGCTTAGTGTGTCCGCACATCCATCTCAGCATCCTCATCTCTGCAATTTTCATCTTATGGGTATAGAAGTTTTTAACTGGCTAACACTCTGCCCCATACATCATGGCCGGCCTAACCACCGCTCTATAGAACTTTCCTTTAAGTTTCGGAGGCACCTTCCTATCACACAGGACACCAGACGCTAGCCTCAATTTTATCCACCCCAGTCCTATACGGTACGTGACATCCTCATCAATATCCCCATCCCCCTGAATAATCGACCTCAGGTACTTGAAGTTCCCTTTCTTGGGGATGACTTGAGAGTCAAGCCTCATGTCCATGTCCGCTTCACCCGGCACACCGCTGAACTTGAACTCCACATATTCAGTCTTAGTTCTACTCATCTTGAATCCTTTAGACTCAAGCGTCTGTTTCCAAACCACCAATCTCTCGTTAATACCGCCCCGCGTCTCATCAATCAGAACTATATCATCAGCGAATAACATACACCATGGCACCTCCCCTTGAATATGGTGTGTTAGTGCGCCTATGTCACGACCCGAAATTCACTAGTCGTGATGGCACCTAACCCATCCTGCTAGGTAAGCCAATTAACGATTTTCCATTTTCAATTAATTCAATAACACAATTTAACAAAGGAGTTATCTAAGTCTTATACATCCCCAATGACTGGTAGTACAAATCATGAGCTTCTAAAAATAGAATTTACAAGCTAATATAAAGTAAATACATCTTCTGTTTGAAAAGTACATAAACAGAGTTTTTATAAATCTAGGGCTACCATGAACAAGGGGCAGCTACAACAGGAACACGGGTACATCTTCAATTCCGGCAACCATAGAACCCAGCAATAACAACAACCAATATCTGCACGTAATGTGCAGAAGTATAGTATCAGTACAACTGATCCCATGTACTGAGTAAGTATCTTGTCTAATCTCGTCGAAGTAGTGACGAGGCTTTGGTTAAAAGATGCTCATTGATAAAACCTGTAATGTAACTAACAATAAAACTATACTACAGTACAACAGAGTAGAGCACGCGAAACGATTATACAAAGCAATAACGGAGTACTAAAAGAAAACACAATTCAACAGGTATCAAAATCTCACCCAATCCTTTCGTAAGAGCGAAAGCCAATAAATCACAACAATCACATCAAAACTTTCATAGTGTGAAAAATATACCCAAGACATCAAATTCAACTTCAGGGCAATACCCTTCGTGCATTTATCTCATCCTCAACAATTATGCGTAAAGCATTTCTAGCCAAATGACAGTAATGCCGATAACAGAAATGACATAGTAGGAAATACGCAAATAACTATAGAGGGCGAGAGTGTACATGAGAACATCAGTAACAGACTGAACAGAAAGCATATAGGTAATGACAATGATTAGGAAAAAGGAATGTAATTTCGACTAACTAGCAAGGTGAAGGCATGAAGACAAATATGACAAATAAGGAAGCAGACACATGATCTTTATAAGTTAACAAGTAGGGACATGAACGACTAGTATGGAAGAAGAACTACACTTAAGTGCAACAAAACAGATGGCATGGATGAAATCCTAACAGCAGGAAATAGGCATGATATTAGCAAGTTTAAGCAAATAGGAGGCATGATAGCATGACAACAAGGTTATAGAGGATAAAGACAGAACAATAACGACATATCACATAAGAACCATGAACACGACAATAACAACTCCAGGTAAAGACATGAAGGTAGCTACAAGAAAGAAATATCACAACATAATGCATGTCTCTCGTCCTCACTTGCACGGAAACACCCTTCGTTCCATGAACTCACCATAACATGAAAGCGTAATAATATAAATACAATGGCACGGCATCACCCTTCGTGCTTTTACTCACATAACATGGCACGAAATCACCCTTCGTGTTTTTACCCACAATGATATGGCACGATATCACCCTTCATGCTTTAACTCTCTAATAATATGGCACGACATCACCCTTTGTGCTTTAACTCTCAAATAATATGGCATGGCATCACCCTTCGTGCTTTACACTCTCCCTCACATGATAATGCATAAATAAAGACACGGCATCACCCTTCGTGCTTTACACTCTAACTTACCAAGCATATGTATATCAATGATAAACAAGGCATGAAGCATAAATAACGTCAAGGGGAGTGTTTAAACGAGTATTTCAAATGAATCCCAATCACAACTTTTCAAGCCAACAATAGTTCAATAAACCCACAAGAACCTTTTTATTCAAGTATTCCAATAAATTTCACAAATGATCTACAACACAAGTATAGAATCTAATATCTCAAGAATATCGGTCGTAGCAATGTATTAATGATTATGCATATTGATGACCGAATTAAACACACCAATGTATTCTCAGAATTTCCATCAAATTTGATCAAGTTATAATAAGCTAAGTCTTAGTTTCTAATATTTAATACTATGTTCTTAGTATCTAGGAGCCAAGTAAGGCATGAGGCAAGAAGATCACGTGATTTTACAAGACACAGTTTATAACATATTTTTATCCCCGAGCATGGTTACCCTGGCACATGCATATATGCTCGTCACCTCATATATGTATCACCCCCGCATGTAGCAAACAATGTCAAATAGTAGGAAAAATTTCCTCAACAAAGTTAGACAAAATATTTACCTCAAAGAAGGCAAACCGATACTCAAAATGAATTCCTCGGGTGATATGACCTCCGGGCGGCTCAAATCTAATCAAAATAACTTCAAAGCACAAATAAAACTCGTAAGAGACTATTCCGGATCATAAAGTCTCAATCTTTAACAAAGTCTAAAAATAGACCCTAAAGTCGACCCCCAGGCCCGCACCTCGGAACCCGATAAATTTCACAAAATACGGCCACCCATTCAAGTACGAGTCCAACCATACTAGTTTCACTCAAATCCGACTCCAATTCGATGTTCAAAACTCAAAAATTCATATTATGAACTTTAGGCCAAAACCTCCAATTTTCTCTATAAAATTCATAATCCAATTAGCAAAAACGAGGATAGATTCATGATATAAGATCAAAAATGAGTACTTACCCTAGTCCACAAGATAAAAATTGCTCCAAGAATCGCCTCAATCCGGGCTTGGAAATGTTAAAATGAAGTCAAAACCGCGATTTTTAAAAGAACACTGCCCAGGTTTTTTATGCATCGCGAACGCGGAAGAACTATCACGTTCGCGAAGAAGAAATCAAAAGTTGCCCAGAATACCCTTCGCGAACGCGAGAAACGGGACGCGAACGCGATGAACAAGGGACAGGACTTACGCGAACGCGAAGAGGAAAATGATCACCAGTGCCAGGGGCCTGGTTTGCACTTCGCGAACGTGATATATGGAATGCGAACGCGAAGAAGGAGGTAGCAGAACTTCGCGAACGCGAGAAGGTAGCTGATAACGCGAAGAGGAAATATTCCACCCTCCAAAATAACACTACGCGAACGCGAGTGCAAGGACGCGAACGCGTTGAAGGAAAACCAGATGACAGATTCAGGAGTTCAAAATAGGAGGAAAATGTCTTGTAGCCTACCCGGAACACACCCGAGGCCCCCGGGACCCCATCCAAATATACCAATAAATCCCATAACATAACACGGACCTACTCGAGGGCTCAAAACACACAAACCAATATCGGAACGACGAATCACACCTCAATTCGAATTCAATGAACTCGAAATTTCAAACTTCCACAACCGATGTCGAAACCTATCAAATCACGTCCGATTGACTTCATATTTTGCACACAATTCTCATTTGACATTACGGACCTGCTCCAACTTCTGAAATTGGATTCCGACCCTGACATCAAAAAGTTCACTTCCGGTCAAACTTGTCAAAAACCTTCAAATTTTTAACTTTTGCCAAACGACTCCAAAATGACCTACGGACCTCCAAATCCATTTTCGGACGCGTTTCCAATACCAAAATCACCATACGGAGCTATTCCCAGACTCGCAATCCCAAATGGACATCGATAACATTGAAATGCACTTCAGCCCAAATATGATAAATTTCTTCCAAAATTCTAACTTCCACAATAGGCACCAAAATGCTCCCAGGTTATCCAAAACCCAATCCGAACATACTCCCAAGTACGAAATTATCATACGCACCCGCTGGAACCTTCAAATCCCGATTCCGAGATCGTTTACCCAAAAATCCAACCTTAATCAATTATTCCAACTTAGAGCTTGAATCTTGAAGTCCATCCTTCCAAATCGATTCCGGATAACTTAAAAACCAACACCGATGATTTACGCAAGTCATAACACATCATGCGGAGATACTCGACCTCTCAAAACTCCGAGCGAAGTACAGATTTTCAAAATGACATGTCGGGTCGTTACAGTCCATCGTCAGAGCAAATAAGCGCTGACTGAGTGCAGATCCTTGGTGTATCCCCATAACAACTGGGAAATGCTCCGATTCGCCCCCCACTGTCCTAACCCGAGTCTTATCTCCATCATACATATGCTTAATCTGCTTAATATAAGCCACCGGAACACCTTTCACCTCCAGGCATCTCCAAAGAACTTCCCTAGGTACCTTGTCATAAGCTTTTTCTAGGTCAATAAACACCATGTGCAAATCCTTCCTCCTATACCTGTACAGTTCCACCAACCTCCGAATAAGATGGATCGCTTCCGTAGTGGAACGACCAGACATGAACCCAAACTGGTTATCGGATATCGACACCAGCCTCCTCACCCTCGCTTCCACTACCTTCTCCCATACTTTCATGGTATGACTCAATAGCTTGATGCCCCTATAGTTGTTACAGTTCTGGATATCGCCTTTGTTCTTGTATAGTGGAATTATCGTACTCCACCTCCATTCCTCTGGTATCTCCTTCGTCTTGAAAATAACATTAAACAGCCCAGTTAGCCACTCCAATCCTGCTCTACCCTATTTGTGTTAAGTCAACATTAAATATTTGTGTTAATTATACAATGGTGTGATAAGTTATCACACCATTGAGGCAGTGTACTACTTACAGTGTACTAGAGGCAGATGCAGTGTACTACTTACGGGTTCAAGTGAACCCATAACTTTCGACGCGGAGTATAAATTTGTATGTAAAAATTAATTTAAATTCTAAAAATAGTAGATATGAACCCATATCTTTAAAAAAAATAATAGGTTCAGTGTTAAAAACCTTAAAATTGAACCCATATGATTTAAATCCTGGATCCTCCTCTAGTAATAATGTTTTCCCTTTTGAGCATGCTGATTTACTTTTATACACAATAGATCTGTGTTTTACGCATAAGAGATCTAAAAACGTTATTTTTTAAAATTCAAAATTGTAAAAGGGGCATGATGTACAAATATCACGAAATAATCTAAGAGAACGTAAGA